TGATCCACCCGCCTCGGCCTCCCAAAGTACTGGGATTACAGGCGTGAGCCACCGCGCCCGGCCTCAGCAATGCCTTTTTAAATGGCTGCATGCATCCCATGGTAGTGATATATCATTATTTATTTATTTGCTGTTCTATTTGAAGACAGTTAAGTTGCTGCCCCATCACAAACTATGCTATAAAGAACATCATCCTTCAACACATGCCTTTGAATACTTGGGCAAGCATTTGCATAGGAGAAGTTCCCAGGACTGCAACAAAGGATACACATAGGTCTTTTACATTTTGATACATCTTCCCAAATTACATTCCCAAAGATTCTGCCCATTTTTACTCCCATTGTGCATGACAGTTCCTCTCTCTCTAAACCCTGGCCAATACTGGGCATTTTCCTCTACTCAGGTCAGTTTTTGAAATGGTCTCTTTTATTACTCTGCATTTTTAAAAATTTTGGTTTTTGCTGGGCGTGGTGGTTTACACCTGTAATCCCAGCACTTTGCGAGGCTGAGGCGGGTAGATCACTTGAGGTCAGGAGTTTGAGACCAGCCTTGTCAACATGATGAAACTCTGTCTCTACTAAAAATACAAAAATTAGCTGGGCATGGTGGTATGTGACTGTAATCCCAACTACTTGGAAGGCTGAGACACAAGAATCCCTTGAATCCAGGAGGTGGAGGTTGCAGTGAGCTCAGGTGCACCACTACATTCCAGCCTAGTTGACTGAGTGATACTCCATCAAAAAAAAAAAAAAGGAAAAAATTTGGTTTTTGAGACAGCGTGTGTTGCCCAGACTGGAGTGCAATGGCACAATCAGTGATCACTGAAGTTTCAACTTCGTAGGCTCAAGCGATTCTCCCTCCTTCTCAGGCTCCTGAGTAGCTGGAACTACAGGCATGCACCACCACACCCAGCTAATTTTTGTATTTATCACAGAGATGGTGGGCAGGGGGTGGTCTCACTATGCTGGTCTCAAACTCCTGGGCTCAAGTGATCTGCCCACCTCGGCCTCCCAAAGTGCTGAGAGTATAGGCATGGCCACATTGCCCAGTTTAAAAAAACACACACACAAAAAAAAACTTTTGAATGGATATTAGCATTAGGATTATGGTATTATTTTATAAAATGGATTTGAATTGCATAGTTTTCCATCTTTATGTTCTGGAAACTTCTATATGGGAATTATATATTCCTTAAGTTTTTATAAGAACTTATTCATAAAACTTCCTAAGCATGGAGACCTCATGAAAGGTAGTTCTTTCATAGCATTCTCAATTTCTTCTTTGTCTACTGATCAGTTAACCCATTTATGCTGGGGGCTGCAATTTTTTGTGTGTGAAAAATCAGACCTTGGCAATGACCTTGAGCAGTAGGATATAAATAACTCCCACAAGCTTAGCATTCCAATAATGGAATATTAGGTGTAAATAGCTGAAAGTATACTACATTTTTTGTTTGTTTTTTGAGACGGAATCTCGCTCTGTTGCCCAGGCTGGAGTGCAGTGGCGCAATCTCGGCTCACTACAACCTCTGCCTCCCAGGTTCAAGTGATTCTCCTGCCTCAGCCCCCCAAGTAGCTGGGATTACAGGCCCCCGCCAACACACCAGGCTAATTTTTGTATTTTTAGTAGAGACAGGTTTCACCATGTTGGCCAGGCTGGTCTCAAACTCCTGACCTCAGGTGATCACCCACCTCGGCCTCTCAAAGTGCTGGCATTACAGGCATAAGCCACTGCACCCAGCCCCAAGGTGTACTACCTCTTAAATCAATTTCAAAAAATAATCACTGAGGCTGGTCCCAGAGGCTCATGCTTGTAGTCCCAGCAAAACAGGAGGTTAGGGTGAGAGGACTGCTTGAGCCCAGGAGATGAAGGCTAAAGTGAGCAATGATTGCACACTGTAGCCTGGGCAACAGAGCAAGATCCTATCTCAGAAAAAACCCAAAAGACACCCATTTCACAGAGATTTTAACATTTAACAGCCTATAACTGAGCATATACTCATGATTGCAACTGGCTTTTGTTGTCATTAGATTTGCTAGTCTTGTCTATCTTCTTGTTCATTGCTCCTTTAAATAACTAGTTTCTGCATTTATTTTGCCTGTGGCTATCTGTTCTCTAATAAATTTATTCCGTCATAACTTTTCATTAATATCTTCCTCTGAGTTTCCTTACAGTTGACTCCTGTTTGGGGTATTTTTTTTGAAACTGAATATTTTATTTGTTTTAAAAAATTCTTCCCATTTTAAATAATAAAAGCATTTCATACTATGAATTTAGCTTAGAGTGTTGCTTTAGTAATACTCCAGAGTTTTTTTTTTAAATATGTACTGCTCTAGTTTTTATTTTTTAAATATTACGTTATTACATATGTTTCCTTTAATTATTTAATTTTAAAATGTTTAAATCCCCAATCAAGACATAGTATTTACACTTTTATTAATTTCTCTTAAGAGTGGATGAAGATTTTAGTCCATACTGACTTGAAGACATCCATAATGTGGATGCCCGATTTTTTTTTCCTGTTGCTGAGTACTATGTCAATTTTTTAAGGGTATATGGAACATCTATAAAGAAGGTATAACCTGTTTGTAGGACCTGAAGGTCAATATATATTAATGGTACCTTAAAAACATATTTTCAATATACACTAGGTTTTTTATAGATGTGTTCTCACTTACTAAGACAATACTGGCCTGGCATGGTGGCTCACGCCTGTAATCCCAGCACTTTAGGAGGCTGAGGCAGGCAGATCACCAGAAGTCAGGAGTTGAAGACCAGCCTGATCAACATGGTAAAACCCCATTTCTACATTTTAAAAAATATATAAAAATGAGCCAAGTATGGTGGTGTGTGCCTGTGATCCTAGCTACTCAGGAGGCTGAAGCAGGAGAATCACTAGAACCCAGGAGGAAGAGGCTACAGTGAGCCGAGACTCCACCACTGTACTCCATCCAGCCTGGGCGACAGAGCAAGCCTCTGTCTCAAAAAAAAAAAAAAGAAGACCATCCTGTAAAAAGACATACTGTATGATTCAGCTAATATGAGGTACTTACAGTCGTCAAACTCAGAGACAGAAAGTAGAGCGGTAGAAGGGTGGTTGCCAGGGACTGCGGGACACAGGAATGGGGAGTTGATGTTTAATGTGTTAAATGTTTCCACTGAGGAAGATACAAAGGTTCTGGAGTTGGATGGTGTGATGGTTGCACAGCACTGTGAATGAGCTTGGTGCCACAGAATGGTGCATGTAGAAATGGTTAAAATGACATATTTTATGTGACCTGTATTTGCAGTAACAGATTGTTTTTGATCCTGGAATTTAGTTATCCCTATTTGTGAGTGAGGAGATGAGGTTCTGAGGTCACCCTGCTGATAACTGGTGTAGAATCAGGATTTAAACTGAGTTGCCTGCTAAACTGAATTTGAGGAGGAAGAAATAAAAAGAAACAATAGAAAAAGGAAGGAAGGAAGAAAGGAGGGAGGGAGGGAGGGAAGGAGGGAAGGAAGGGGAAAGGTAAGGAAAAGGAAGGAAAGGAAAAATAATATAAAATGAGGCCGAGCATAGTGGCCATGATTGTAATCTCAGCACTTTGGGAGGCTGAGGCAGGTGGATCACCTGAGGTTGGGAGTTCAAGACCAGCCTGACCAACATGGAGAAACCCCATCCTACTAAAAATACAAAATTAGCCGGGTGTGCTGGTGCATGCCTGTAATCCCAGCTACTTGGGAGGCTGAGAATCGCCTGAACCCAGGAGGTTGTGGTGAGCAGAGATCACATCATTGCACTCCAGCCTGGGCAGTAAGAGTGAAATGCCGTCGCAATAATAATATAAAATGAACTGAGTCATCTGCATTAAAAGCTGTTAGCATTTTACCCTGTTCTGTGTTCCCTGTGTGGGCTTCAGAGAGGAGTTTCCTCACCAATAATGTTCTCCAATGTAGAAAGCAGCACACCATGCCTTCACCCAGATGCCCACGCCCCCAGGCTCATTCCTCATCTCTTCCCAGCTGTCAAGACCATCACCTGGAGACCCAGCAGCACAACCACCACAGCCAGCCTCGGAGTCACAGAGGTCAAAGGGCACTCAAAGTCCTGGCACCTAAGCCTGGAGACTACTGTGTGGGTGGCAGTGGCTGTCACTGCACTTGGAATCATGATTTTGGGACTGATTTACCTCTTCTGGTGGAGGAGAAGAAAAGGTAAGTGCCCAGGACCTACCTCCTCTCCATGCCTCCGGGGGGCGGGGGTTTCCTCAGAGCCCACCTGCAGCTAAGGTGCTTCTGAAATATACAGACCCTGCCAGCTCCCCTGAAGCTCACTGAGGCCGACACTGTGGCCTGTGCTGGGGCATCTGCAATGAGGGCTTCTGCAGTGGGGCAGTACAGGGTCACATGTGAGAACCCCCAGCCCTCTCCACACAGCCAATTCCCCCAACCTGTTCTTCTCTCTCAGTCATTACTCATCCACCCTCCCCTGAGGTTCCGGGGGAGGGGAGAGTCTGCCCTGGGAAAAGGACAGAGAGAGCAGAAGAGACAGGAAGTAGGCTGAGCTCAGCACACTGGCCAACTGGCCACCTGCCACAGCCTGGCTTGAAACTGGAGAAGGAAAGCAGATGAAGCATAAACCACAGACTCTGCTCTCGGAGAACTAGGGGTGTGGGGTTGTCAGTTGCCTCAAGGACTAATTGCTTCATTGAGAAAGAACTATGGTAGTCCAGTTGAGCCCAGGAGTGTGAGACCAACCCCGCCAACATGGTGAAACCTCATCTCTACTAGAAAAACAAAAATTAGCCAGGTGTGATGGTGCGTACCTGTAATTCCAATTACTGGAGAGGCTAAGGTGGGAGCATTGCTTGAGCTTGGGAGGTGGAGGTTGCAATGAGCCACGATCACGCCACTGCACTCCAGCCTGGGCAACAGAGTGCACCCCATCTCAAAAAAAAAAAAAAAAAGAAAGTCTTCAGTGAAAGAAGATTTGCCTTATCAGCTATGAAAGCACAGAGGGGAGAAGCATGGGATCAGGGCTGCCTGCAGTCAGATCCTGGCCTCATACCCTCGCCAGGGAAGTAGCCTTGCTAGTACAAAGGTTGTGGGCCTCAACTTCCTCATGGGAAAAGGGAGTGAAGATAGTACCTACATGGGGTTGTCCTGACAATTAAATATATTGTGTTTAGAATAAATCTTAGCAGAGGGTGTGTACACATGAGCATCAACACTTAGAATGATTCAACAGTGGGCATTAAAACCAGGCAACACTGGCTCTCATGGGAGCACCATTGTATGAATACATTTAAAACAAAAGACAAAACGGTGCAATATTGGCATACACAGATAAAGCAATGGAAGTAAAGAGGAAAACCTAAGTATAAGAGAATGAAAACAGACCCAAATATATGTGGGAATTTAGTTGGTTAAAAGGTTTCTAATCAATGGGGAAAGATGAGCAATTCAATGAATGGTGCTGGACCTATTCAGTAGCCATCTGAGAAAAAATAACATTATCTCCTTAACTCATAATTTGTACCAAAATAAATTCCACAGGGATAAAATATTTAAATGAGAAAAAAAAAAACCCTAGTATCAGAAGAAAATGTGAGATTATTTCATGACCACAGAGTAGAGACAGTCTTCCTCAGCATGACCAAACTCAAAAGCCATGGATTAAAACATTAAAATCTGGCCAGGCGAGGTGGCTCGCACCTGTGATCCTACCACTTTGGGAGGCAGAGGGTGGATCACTCGAGGTCAGGAGTTCGAGACCAACCTGGTCAACATGATGAAATCCCCACTCTACTAAAAATACAAAAATTAGCTGGGCATGGTGGTTTGCCCCTGTAATCCCAGCTATTCGGGAGGCTAAGGCAGGAGAATCACTTGAACCCAGGAAGTGGAGGTTGCAGTGAGCTAAGATCATGCCACTGCACTCCAGCCTGGGCAACAGAGCAAGACTGTCTCAAAAAAAAAAAAATCAACCACTTATTTTTTTTTAAATTCTACATAACAAAAACCACAGTGCTTTTCTCCTGAGAATGAGTAAGAGGGTCAGAGAACTGAAGAGAAAGTTTGACATAGTCACTGAGGAAATGGGAAGTGGAGTCTTGAGAGTTCAGCTCAGATGAGAAACTGTAAATCCATAACAGCAGTGTTATGTATGGCTGCATTTTTCCCTAGAAGTTGTCCACAATTCAGATTTTGAGACCTTAGTGATTTGTGTTGGTCAGGAATTGTCAGTTGCTACCATCAGGGACCAGAAGTAACAGTGGCTTAAACAAGACAGAGTTGGGTTATTTTTTCCTCCTGTAAACAGATCTGGAAGCTGGCAGCAGAGGCCACTGTTCTTAGACACTCAGGTTCCTACGTTTCTGATTCACCAGCCCTGATGCTGACTTCTGTCCTGAAGGTTGCCTCATGGCCCATGATGGCTGCAAAGAGTCCAGTTACTATTCCTGGGTTCCTGGCAAGAAACAGGTGGAAGAAAGAAAGGGAAAAAAATACTAGGCCCCAACTGTCTGTTCCCTTTAAAGAGTTTTCCTGAAAGACCTAACAACAACTTCTGTTTATATCTTATTGGCTAGAATTTGGTCACGTATCCCACAGCTATCTGGAGGGGGGACCCTCCCACTCCAAATACAATTAATTTTCTATAACTAAGAAGAATTGAATAGATATTGGGTAATCAAATAGCATTTCTGCCATAAGACACCCCCAGGATTAGAGATTTGCCAGCTAAGTGTGACAGAATGACAGGAGATCACAGGTCAAGGAGCTAGCGAGAGAGCAGGAATGGAGAGCAGAGGGATCAGCAGGGAATCTGGATAATCTGTAGAAAAGTAGGTTATCAAGGGATAAGAGTTCAATGAAATCTAAGAACAGGTATAGTGGGATAATGACAAAAGAGAGCTGGTATACTTCTAAGCTTATTCTGTGAGGGCAGCATTACAGTGATACCAAAGCAAAAGCCACTAAAAGAAAAAAAAACAAAAAAAACTACACACCAATAACCCTGATGAATATTGATGTAAAAATCTTCAACAAAATACTAGCAAACTAAATTCAACAACAGAGAAAACGGATTATACACCATGGGCCAGGCACAAGAATCACTTGAACCTGGGAAACAGAGATTGCAGTGAGCCAAGATTATGCTACTGCACTCCAGTCTGAGCAACAGAGTGAGACTCTGTCTCAAAGGAGAAAAAAAGAAAGAAAAAAAAAAAGATAGATGAATATGCCAATGGAATAGAATACAGAGTCTAGAAATAAACCCTTGTACATGTGGTCAAAAGACTTGACAAGGGTGCCAAGGGCACTTAATGGGCAAAGGATAACCTCTTCAACAAATGACGTTGGGTAAACTGAATATTCATACCAAAGAATGAAGTTGGATCCTTATAACATAAAAAATTTGACTCCAAATGGATTAAAGACCTAAATGTTAGTTCCCAAACCATAGGGAAAAAGTCTTGTGACACTGGTGATACCAAAAGCACAGGCCACAAAAGAAAAAATAGAAAAATAGGACTACGTTAAACTTAAACATGCTTTTTTTACCAAAGGATACAATCAACAGAATCAAAAGGCAACCTATAGAACAGGGGAAAATATTTGCAAATTATATATCTGATAAGGAAGGAATATTTGGAATATATAAAAACTACAGTTCAACAACAAAAAAATCAACCCAATGTAAAAGTGGGCAGTGGATTTTAACAGACACTTCTCCAGACAAGATATTTGCTATGGTCTGAATGTGTCTCCTCAAATCATGTATTAGAAACTTAGTCCCCAGTGTGACAACTGGGAGTTAGAGTGTTTTGGGAGGTGCTTAGGTCATGACAGCTCTGCCAGACGAATGGATTAATGCCATTATAAAAAGGGATTTCAGGAGTGGGTTCATTGTCTTCTGATCTTCTGCCATGTGAGGACACAGTAACCCTCCCCTCTGGAAGATACAGCAAAAAGGCCCTCACCAGACACCAGCAAGATGCTGGCACCTTGATTTTGGACTTCCCAGCCTCCAGAACTGTGAGAAATAATTTTGGTTTGCTTTGTTTTACTTTTCAGCAACCTCTTGTCCAACAGAAGAAATAAATTTCTGTTCTTTATAAATTACACAGGCTCAGGTATTCTTATATATATTAGCAGCACAAAATAGACTAAGACAATACACAAATCACCAAGAAGCAGATGAAAATGGCCAACTAATGATCAGATAAATGCAAATCAAAACCACAGAGAGCCATTCCTTACACCCAGAAGGGTAGCTACTATTAAAAATAAATAAATGTGGCCGGGCACAGTGGCTCACACCTGTAATCCCAGCAATTTGGGAGGCTGAGGCAGGCAGATTATGCCATCAGGAGTTTGAGACCAGCCTGGCCAATATAATGAAACCCCAATTCTCCTAAAAATGCAAAAATTAGCCAGATGTGATGGTGGGTGCCTGTAGTCCCAGCTACTCAGGAGGCTGAGGCTGGAGAATAGCTTGAACCCAGGAGGCAGAGGTTGCAGTGAGCCAAGATTGCGCCACTGCACTCCAGCCTGGGTGACACAGCAAGACTGTATCTCTAAATAAATAAATAAAGCAAGCAAGCAAGCTAGCTAGCTACCATATGATCCAGCAATCCCACTTTCGGGTACATACCCAAAAGAACTGAAAAGAAAAATCTTGAAGATATATTTATACACCCATGTTTATAATTAATATTTCAAAGTTCCCAGTCTCAACATTAAAAAAAAACAACAACAAAACATCCTATAGAAGTGGAAGGGGAGGCCCCTGGAGTTGAGAGAAATAGTGAGGCCTGGGCTCAGAAGGTGTCTCTGTGTATTCAGAGCCTTCTCAAGAGGCAGTTAGGTGGAGAGGATGTCTATGGACCAGGGGCCCAGTGCTTGGGAAACGCTGTAAGGATGCCAGAGGAAATGGCATCCTGGGTTCATGCAATTCTCCTGCCTCAGCCTCCTGAGTAGCTGGGACGAAAGGTGCCCGCCACCACACCTGGCTACTTTTTATAATTTTAGTAGAGACGGGTTTTCGCCATGTTGGCCAAGCTGATCTTGAACTCCTGACCTCAGGTGATCTGCCCCCCTCAGCCTCCCAAAGTGCTGGGATTATCACAGGCATGAACCGCCACACCCAGCCTAGGTGTTAGGTTGGACGGAGTGAAAGTTGAAACATGAAAATTATACTAGCAGTTAATATTTCAGAGTTTCCAGTCCCAACATTAAAAAAACAAAAAGTCCTGTAGAAGTAGAAGGTGGGGCCCCTGGAGCTGAGGGGTGCCATGAGGTCTGGGCTCACAGAGTGTCTCTGTGGACATGGAGCCCTCCCAGGAGGAGGCTGGATGGTGGAGAGGATGTCTGTGGACCAGGGACCCAGTGCTTGGGAAACGCTGCAAGGATGCCAGGGGGACGAGAGGGGCAGGGCACAGTGGGAGAGGCAGCAGAGGATTCAGGTTGGGATCAGCCAGAGGGGAGGGAAGGCCGAACAGTGGCAACAGAACTGGAATAGCCACAAACATGAGTCCCAAGCACCAGGCTCCCAAGGCTGAAGAGCAGACACAGCCACTACCCAGAGCACAGGCGTGGTATCCCCGAGGACCTGGAGGGAGTGAAGGGTGCCTGTGTCAAGGGGAGGGGTGGGGAG